TATGTGGGCCCCGGGTGCTTCTAAACACCCGATTTTGCTCGTACATGAGTGGGGAACATTCCCTTAAAGTTTCAGCTTTCTAGTTCTTCCCACTCCCGAATTAGTAATTTTTGCGCCAAAATTTCCACGCGCTCTTATGTGGGACGCGGGCTCTCCTAAACACCTGAATTTGCTCGCGCATGAGTGGGGAACATTCTCTTAAAGTTTCAGCCTTCTAGTTCTTCCCATTTACGGGTTAGTTATTTTCGCGCCAAAATTTCCATGTGCTCATACATAGGCCCCGGGGCGGCCCTAAACACCTGAATTTGCTCGTACATGAGTAGAAAACATTCCCTTAAAGTTTCGGTTTTCTAGCTCTTCCCATTCCCGGGTAAGTAATTTTCGCGCCAAAATTTCCACGCACTCGTATGTGGGTCGCGGGCGCTCCTAAACACCTGATTTTGGTCGTACATTTGTAGGAATCATTCCCCAAAGTTTCAGCTTTCTAGCTCCTCCCGCTCCCGGGTTGGTGTTTCCCGCGCCAAAATTTCCACGTGCCCGCACGTGGGCCCCGGGCGCTTCTGAACACCTGATTTTGGTCGTACATGTGTAGGAATCATTACCCCAAAGTTTCAGCTTTCTAGCTTTTCGTGCCGCCGAGTTAGTGATTTTCGCGCCAAAAATTTTCACGTGCCCGTACATGAGCCCCTGGGCTGCCCTGAGGAGTTGAGTTTAGAAACTTCTGGCCGCACATGAGTAGGGAACAATCCTCCAAAGTTTCAACTTTCTAACTTTTCTCGATCCCGAGTAATGAATTTTCCCGCCAAAATTTTCACGTGCCCGTACGTAAGCTCCGGGCAGTCCTGGACAGCTGAATTTGAAATCTTTTTGTCATACATAGGTAGGGAACATTACGCCAAGGTTTCAGCTTTCTAGCTTTTCTCGTTCCCGAGTTATCAATTTTCGCGCCAAAACTTTCACGTGCTCGTACGCGGGGCTCAGACGTGCGTGAGAGTTGATACTGCCGTCCTGGGGTGCCACTTGGCTATGGAACACACCAGCAAAATTTCAGCCTCAAAGCTTGCGTGGTTGGCGAGTTGAAACACACACACACACTGACAGGGTCGCTGCAATATGCGTTTTTGCTGCCTATTGCAGCGCTCTAGCGCTGCACGGCAAAAACGCATAAAAAGGGAGAGGCCCCGCATGGTATGGGGATGTGCGTTTTTATGCGTTTTTGCATATATGCAAATTGCAGTTTAGTCGAAAGCGTACCAGCTGCCCGATACGAGGATGCGTTTTTTGCACAGTTCCCCCGCAGGTTTTTTCGCCAGTGGCAGGTTCTTCCTGGCAGTTCCTTCTAGCTAAAAGAATTGGGACTAGCCACCACGACTGTTAGGAATTATTACAATGACTCGCAATCCATGCCCAAAAAATTCAGCGCAGTGGATGCTTCGGTTGCGGAGTCATGTAAAATTTCACGTGTTCATGCGTGGGTGGAAAGTAAATGACTTCTTTGCCTGCGGATGCTCAAATACGGTCCTGGCTAACGCTAAGAAAGTTTCAACACTCCAGCTACTCTGGTTGCGAAGTTACGTCGAATTTCACATGTGTACACGTGAAACGTAGGTGAGACATGAAAGTGAATTGTGATTCGTTATTGCGTGCATCTGGTCAAAAGCCACCGCCGGTTAAGCTCAGAAAGTTAAGATCCTCTGGCTGGTTTAATTCTGAAGTTACAAAAGCGCATGTGTAGAATTTTCACGTGTTCGTACGTGAGATGCAGAAGAGCTGACAAGTAATTTGCTTACACGGACACAATAATAGGCGATAACTAACACTGCAAAATTGCAGCTCTTTGCAGTTTATCGGTCAGCTTAAATCTGAAGTTGGCATGATGCCAGTTTAAACTTCGACGTGTGCGTACATAAGAACTGTGGGTGCGTGAAGGCTAGATTTGAAATCTTTGGATTAGACGCGGCCAAGGAACAACCCTGTGAATTTCCAGCCTTCTAGCATGAGCCGTTCTCGAAGACACTCTCCCGCCAAAAAAATTTTCACGTGCCCCTACGTGAGAACCACACGGACTTGGGCGCCCATTTTGAGGATACAAGCCCGCACGTATGTGTAAATAAATCACCAAATTTTGAGCTTTGTAGCTTTTGTGGATCTCGAGATGAAAACTCGTTACAGACGCACACACAGACACACATACACACACATACATACACACAGACACACACACACGGACAACCCCTAGACAATATGCGTTTTTGCATTGCATAGCTGCAAAAAACACACAAAAACGCATGTTGGGAAGAGGCTGTGTGTATGTGTGTGTGTGCGTGTGTGTTCGCACTTTTTGTCACCCACTTTCAACTCAAGAATTAGAAAAGCTAGAAGGCTGAAACTTTGAGAAAATGTGCCCATATCATGCGCGATCCTCCCGTTTTAATATCATCCCCCGCGGGCGTCTGGGTGCCGCGTACGGACGCTTTAAGAAAATATGCAAATTTTCTGGCGGGAAAGCGATCTCGGGAACCAGACAAGGTAAGGGGCTGAAACATTGTAGAAACATTCCCTGTGCAGGTTTTAGTTAAATATTTCAAATCCAGCCCACAGGTATGCGCGGTTCTTACGTACGAGCACATGAAAAATTCGACGAGAGAATTGTAAACTCGGCAACCAGAAAAGCTGTAAGGCTGAAATTTTACAGGGATTTTCCTTGTCCACGCGCAATTTAAAAATTTCAAATTCAGCTTCCCAGGCACGTGGTGTACGCAGATACGGGCATGTGAAGGTTTTGGGGGGAAAACTGCTGACTCGGTAACCAGAAAAGCTGAAAGGCAGAAATTTTGGGGTAATGTTCCCCGTCCAGGTATAACTCAAATATTTTAAATTCAGTCCCTAGCTATACGTGGCACTCACGTATAGCTAGGGACTGAATTTAAGGGCGCATGAAATTTTCTGCGGTAAAATTACTAATTCGGGAACCAGAAAGGCTAGAAAAGTGAAATTGTAGGGGAATGTTCCCTGTCCAGGTACATAAGTATTTCAAATTCAGTCTTGAGGTGTGCGTGGTTCTTACGTATGAGTAATTAAAAGCTTTGGCGGAAAAATCTCTCACTGAACAGCTAGGTTACTTTTGAAGAACGACCGTTAAGTGAAAAATGTACATTTAATTTACGCAAAATTTATGGTGATTTATGCTAATGACCGCAAAAGGTAGGTGTAAAGCAACAACCATTCATACAGTTAATGACCTGAGTACTTTAAGTCCGGTACAAAAACGCGTGATCGCACGGGCCTGCCCGGTGAGTCCCAGCCTGGATTGCAATTCGCATATATGCAAAAACGCACAAATAAAATAGAACTGCACTGACCTTGTGTGCGGCTTCCGATGCGTTATCGACCGAGGCACGCTTCAGCTGTTTCACCTTGCTAGAAGCTGCATCTTTTAGCTGCAGAGCTTTGTCTTTGGCTTCTTCAGCTATATGCACAGCACCACTTTTCCACTCCTAAAAACGTTTCTGTACTGTCAGCTTTCGAAAATTCAGCTCTACTTTCCGTTGCACACAGAGCGATGGTTAGGTCTTAGCCACCGAAATCATAAGCTGAATTCAAGCTTCATTGCTTGGACACAGCTGATTACCATCAGCGATGATTTACAAAAAACCGCCGCAAATTCGTTTGCCAGCAGAAAGTGTTGCAGGTTTTTGTAAACTGCTTTCTGTTGCTGATAATTACCTCACTATAGTCAAGGAGAACTATCAACCCCTCAACTTTAGTTGCAGCTCCTTCAAATGCAGCTAAAAACGCACGAAGTTGCAGCTCGCTCAAGCGCATCAAATGAAGCTAAATTAGACTCTCCTATTCTGAGTTGTTTTAACTGTTATCTCTGCTATATACTCACACCAGTTCTTTGAAATTGCCTGAGCTTTTTCCTTCCTGAGCAACACTAGTTTGGAAGAGTTGCTGGTAAAACTTTCAAACCCTGCCTTGCTCTTCTACTTAGAGAATACGAGAAAGACTAATTTTTATCTAGTAATGGAAAATCCGGACACAAACTCGCCTTGGCGGTATCTTTTATGGCATCCTCAATCGTATAGCGCTCACTGGAGGCTTGATCGCTCACCTCAGCCACCTTACCAGCAACATGGTCTTGCCCGGTAGCTTCGGGCATCTCCGAAGTTGAATCCTTAACACTTTCTTTCAGATGATGCGTTGGATTTTTGGCAGCATTAGTAATCAGCTGCGGTGAGCTATAGCCATCCTATGATCATTTCGAGACTGAGTCAAAATACGTTATCATTTAAACAAAATTCACTGCAATCTCCAAAGAAAAAATAATGGAACATGGCGCGATGAAAGGTGAAAAGCCGTCGGCTTTTCAGTGATGCAACAATTCGTCGTCACAGTTATTTGAAGCAAGCTTGTTTTTTCACTAAACTGCTGAATGCTTTTTCCAAATGTCTCATCGCCCTGGACGGAAAATATTCATAAGAAATGCCAAGTCGTTTGAGCCTTGCATGCATGGACGTCGTTGTTACTGAAATTAAGCTACACACCTGCCAAAGATGCAACAGTATGCCCTCCTAACTATAATTTCAGTAGGCACAACAAAATACCATCGAAAGTTCTGGGGTGATTCTCCTTGCTAGAAAACCATTTAGTCACTCGCAAAAATGCACGTTGTTTTCTGTAATATCCTCTTCCCGGCTTTTCCCAACTTGCAGCCGTCTGAGGAACAAAACATTTTCAGTCACAATCTAATATTACTATCATTACTTTTAGCCAAGAAAAAAAGGGGGGTTGGGAATGCACATGGTGGGAGATGGATTTCCATAGAAGCAGCAGAAGACCAATGTATGCCAGTAATCACAGCAAGAGTAGCAGCATGAGCTATGCAAATAAATGTAACAGGAGCGGACTTACGTAACAGCACTGAACGAGCCTTCATGAGCTCGCTCAAATTCAAAATACTTTTCACGTTTTTAGATCTCGTCCTGATTTCCCTATACAGCCAACGAGAGCAGTCTGATATTCGATTGTTACAGCCCGAAGACACTTTTCATATAACCCTCAGTACCTATTTCCTTCCTCTCTTCCCTCTCCCCCTCTCT